AACAACGGTTTCAAACCTGCAACTCTTCAAAGTTAAATTAGAGTGATCATACAGACGGCAAGCAGATGAGCTATGTTGAGCACAGACTAGATTATCAACAATGAAAGAATCAAGAAAATTATGTTCTGTCAAAGATGGGATCATTTTCTATCTCAGCAGACTATGAATAGCCTCCTCGTTTTCACACCGCAGCTTCTTTTACCACCACTGGATATATTTGGCAGCTTTTGTGATCATGTAGCAGGCAGAAGAATGAGCGACAGAGAGAAGGTCTATAAAAAGCACAGGCTCCCCTCCCACTCATGCTTACAGTTGCATGCTCAGCTCGAGCTCAGCGACGTGACTTTACTGTGGCAAGGCTGGATTCACAAAAAAATAMAAGAATGTTATCTTTTCTGTGCATCACTTTTCCACTGCTCTGACTACAGCGATGCTTTGCTCCTTCCAGGAGGTGGATGGTTATCACATGCAGTAAAAAAAGATGGCTGTGATGTTTACCAACATTTGCCAGTATGTGACTGATGAGATCATTAGGATTTTTAGGGCAGGAGGAGCTGAGATGTTCGGCAGCACATGTTGTGCAGCATGTGCTAAGGCTGCATCACAATGCTGCCTGGAGTTCTACTTTAATTGGCAGGACATGATGATGGAGCAGTTGGCCTGTGATAAGTGACAAAACATGAGCAAATTGTYAGCCAAGGTAAGCCATTCAGTCTGGGTGATCTTTAATAAGAACAAGACATCAGTGGATCAAATTACTGCGGCCAGGTAATTATTATCACCTGCTGCTGAGGCTGCCATGTAATCACTTATGTCTGCGTGTGAACTCATAGAAAACAATCATTGCACTGACATCTACAACTAATTACCTTTTGTAGTCAACCTGACTCAAGGTTGTTGCTACAGTAATTAAGCCTTAGCCAACACAAAAATGTGTAAAATCTGAGTAGCTGAGAGTAGCTAATCCACCATACGTACTCAGGTGCCAAAAATATTGTGTGAAATCTTTAATCAAAACCTGGTAATATGCACTCCTTCAAGGAGTTTTCACTATTTTCACTATTTTCACAGTCTTCAGTGTTTGGAAAAAATCCTGTTGTTTCTTTTTGTAGCACTTTTATTTTCTCATATAGAGATTTTATCTCGACAAGTTTAAAATAAATCCTAAGATTCCTTTCAGACTGCAGCTCACAGGCGGTTTCAGAATAAGTCCTGGACGAAGATAAAAAGGCTCAGACAAAACTCAAAAGGTCAAAATGACAAACAGCTGACTTGACTGTTTCTGAAACAAGTTCTTATCATCAGGTTAGAAGAAGAGGGATACCTGTGACATTTGTCCGGTGTTTCTCAACTCTTCTTGTTTTAAACGTGATCAGGTTTGTCCAAAAAGGTTTTCTTCTCCTGAGAGTTGATGGATGTATTCACCAGTCTGTGAGGAGAGGAGAGAGAAGACAATAACCAGTCGTTCTGCTAACTGAAGAGCTGACTCAGGGCTCTTGTGTTAACCACCTTTTCCTTTTTTTTAATGTAAAACATTTGATGTTTTTCAGTTTGAAGCAGCAAAAAACACAAATGTAGCATAAGATCCAATGGCATGAAGAATAAAACATCTTTACATAAACAACGGTTTCAAACCTGCAACTCTTCAAAGTTAAATTAGAGTGATCATACAGACGGCAAGCAGATAAGCTATGTTGTGCACAGACTAGATTATCAACAATGAAAGAATCAAGAAAATTATGTTCTGTCAAAGATGGGATCATTTTCTATCTCAG